AGCTCAGACATAAGATATGATGATCTTATGGCATTACACTAATCCTAAAACTTCTGTTCTGACATGAACAATATATATGTAAACAGAACAAAATCACATAATTACATAATTACTAAGACATAAACATTTTCTGTCCAGGAAGAGAAGAGAACACCCCACAGTGAGTAAAAGCAGTGCTCTTTACACCCACACATCTTAGATAAGTGCATTTAACCTCTTGATCACCCTCATTAACACTTTGATCACCTCTGTCACCCACCCAGTGCCATTAGTACAGTGTCAGTGTACAGTTTTAAATTTTTCACTGATCACTGTATTAGTGTCACTTGCGGCATCAGATAGTGTCAGATAGAGTCAGGGTCAGTTAGCATCCCTCCTAACCAGGATCAGCTAGTGTTAGATTGCCCACACACTATCCCACTCACATGGCACTAGAGCTGTATAGGCAGCATGAGACAGTAATTCTGGCAGGCCTGCAATGGTGGCAGGAGATAGTAATAGATGTCAGGCCATCAGCAGTTTTAGGAGATGGTAATGGTGGCAGGAGATGGTAATGATGACAGACCAACAGCAGTATTAAAAAAAAATGGCTTTTTGCTGATCCATGACTGACATAGTTTTATAAAGCTGAGGTAGTCTGTCTGGAGACAGGCATATTCTTTTTTATGTTTCAAAACTACCCAATGCAATGAATGTCAATTCTTAAAGCACACTGGCTTCAAGGTAGCCTGGACAACACTTAGTAGTCCAAGGGGTCATCTGTTATCAGGGTGTCAACACCTGCCCTTGACTCCATGAAATCATTGATCATATGGGTTATGCTCTGCCTATGACTGCTGCCAGCAGCAAGGCTTGGGAGATGCATTGTGAAGAATGACCAGAAGAGCTCACATAGGCAGCCACTGGCACGACTGTTACTGCTTTCACTGCCTTGAGTATCTAAGGCATGTTGGTCATGAACTGGGATCCTATAACTCTCTGCAAATGGTGCATTTTTTGCTTCTGTGATGGCAGGATGAGCTCTGGAATTTTCCGCTTTTATGTGGATCTCAAAGGGTGGTCAACCAGTAATGGTCCCTATCCTTGATGGCCCAAATCCTTGGCCCAAGTCCTTGCATAGTCACTGCAGTGAGATTGAGCAAATCTGCCACAAACTTCCAGTGGCAGGGGAATCCAAGTCCTCGATGCTGTTGAAGGCAATGTTGTCCTTAATCATCTCATTCTACCTAAGTACAATTCCCAGTGTTTGGATGGGGTAAGTTGTATCCCTAGAAGCCTGGCCTGTGTCCTTTTCTTCCTCACTGGAAAGGACCGTAATCCTCTTCCTCAAGCTCCTTTGGTGACTGGTACTGCCTTACAAAGACAGAAACAGAAAAAAGTGGGCCCTGACTGAGACAGCAGAAACTCATCCTTTTCCTCTGGTTGTTCTCCAGCAGGAATGCTAGAGGAATTATGTTGCTGATCCGCACCTTGTCAGGGTTAAGAATTCTGGTCACGTTATTAAATGGTGAAAACATGGAATGTGTATACTAAATGAGGTGCTACTAACATGGTAAAAAATACCCCAGGTCTCCACAGCCAGTCCTTGTCCAATATTTTCACAAGTAGTTGGCAAGAGGATGGTGTTGCTGCCGAATTTCAGCCTGCACGCAGTGGCTGGGTAGGACCACCACCTGAAGTAGCAACACACTCTTCTGGCCTGCCACAGCACATCATGGAAGTCAGGGTACTAAATTAAAAATTGCTACACCAATAGATTGAGGATGTGTGCCAGGCAAGGCACATGTGTGAACATTCCCTGCCAAAGGGCAAACAGCAGATATAAGCTGGCCATACATTATACAATTTTCTTGTTCAATTTTATTAGCTTTACCTTCAACTATGTAGTGCAAGAGCCTTACTGACTGTATACAAATTGAAAGTGTTTAGGTTTGACTGCACATTGTATGGTTTTGGTAAATCTAAAGGAAAATTGTACAAGAAAATTGTATAATGTATGGACAGCCAAAGCCAGTGTCACACAAGACCTTTCCTGGCACAAGATTGCATGGTGTCAGTCACCTCTCATTTGCCCTCCAAAATCTGAAAGAATATTGACCTCAGTGTGACTCTTCTTCCCCAGGCATACCAGTTGTAAAACAAAACAGTGTGGCAACATTTGCATGGGTTGTTGTGTAGGCTATTGGTTGTTTGGGATGGAATAGTGATTATGAAAATTCAGACCAACTGAGCTGTCACCATCACCAAGTTTCAAATGAACCTAGTGGTCTACGAACAAGATGTAACATCACTTCCTATGCTGGCTGGACCAAGTGCCTGTGATTATGTGGACCCTGCCAATGACTGTGTGATCCAGCAACAGAAGAACCGTAACCACAGTTTTTCAAAACATTATGCCATGCATCATAAAAAAGATCCCTCCAGTCCAAAAGTGATAGGTATTGATAAATATACAAAACACTGGGGAGGAAGTAATCTCACATAAGGGGGTCTCTCTCTTGGAAACGAAACTATGTGATTAAAAATCTTTATGTCCCTTTACGTTTTAACGTAGAATGGGATTTAAAAAGTTTTATCAAGAATAGTTAATCTATCATATGGTTTAAGTTTTTTTTTACAAAAAAAATATTTAAAAATTTTTTATGTATGTATATACGTGCACTTTTGTAATGAGTGCTGTCTTTGAATGGTGATTTTACATTGAGGAGAGGGCCATTATGAAATTTGACCACAAGATGGTGATAGGGAGCTCCCAGGTTGAAATGAAAATGTATTTTCTTTTTTGTTTTTAAAATTTATTTTATGTTGAATTAAAGATACGTTTTCTTGTCTATCAAATATATTTAGGCTTTTATGGATTCCATATGATTTTAAAAGATTAAATATGATGTATTGTTCACTGTGCAGTCAACATTGAGAGGTGACACACAGATTTGCAGTTTATTTAAAGAAAGTGTCAGCACATCTAGCCAACCCCTTAAGAATGGCATTGGGTTCAAAGCTTGTGCTGACTTCATTATACCAGCTGGAGCTAGCAGTGGTTGTGGTTGTGCTTACATGGAATTTATGTCAAAATGAGGACAAGAATCAATCAGGTGGTTTAAATAGGAAAAATGTACAATAAACAAAAGCCTAGGAAGGCAGGAAGCACATAGGCAAATTATCAGGAATTTCCACTTCTAACCACATTAACAATCATGTAGACAGCCACAGGAGTGGTAAGGTTAATCAATACACCAGGGAAGGTGAAGCCAATAAAGGGGGGTAGGAAGAGGGACAAGAGACCAAAAAATTTAAGAAAAATAGTGTCCCCATACCTGAGAGTATAAACGTAATAGGGGCCCCAAAGGGTCCCGCAACCTTCATCAAGAAGGTGAAATTGATAAAAAAAATGTAGAGAAGAAGAAAGGAAAGGAAAAAAAAAAGTGGTGGGGGGGGGGGGGGGGAAGAGGTCAGCTAAGAATCAGCTAAGGAACTGAAAAATACTGAATCCATGGATCAGACGTTCTGTCGAATTTCTTAGTGTTCTTATGGAGGATACAGGTGAGTTTGTCACTGACCATAATCCAATTAAGCTTATGCTTCACATAGTCAAATGGTACAACTGGTCGCTGCCACTGTTTAGCGATAGTAATTTGTGCTACCAGGAGCATATACTATATGTGACAGACCCAACCAGGACAGGGGCTTTTGGAGGGGACTAGGGGCTAGCCTTCTACCCACTGATTATAGCCCATGGAGAGCATATCATTCTCTAATAATGGACTATAATGCGATGAATGTGGAGAGTGAGGCTTGGATTATTTCTCTGAATAAAGATATTACAGATTCCCTTCTGGAGTGGATGGAATAGTGTAATATTAAACTTATACAGGTTAATGGTCAGAGGAAGTATGGTAGCCTTCATGCAGACTGGGTTGGATAAGCTCCTCCACTTTGGACAGAAATATTTATCAACAATCTCCCTCAAGAAATCTATAAAGATAGATGAATTCCAATTTTTCAGACTGTCTGAATATTGTATTTGAGTTTTGTCTTATGATGGACAGATTATACAAGTGAAAGAAAGCACCAAAAATACAGCATGTGTAATGGACTTGGTGTATTCAGGGTTGGAGGTGCCGAGCTGTCTGGATGGGCTCCCTGGCTTGTCTGGGTGCCTGGCTGTTAATTAGCTTACTGTTAATTACCGTATTTTTCGCTCCATAAGACGCACCTGACCATAAGACGCGCCTAGGTTTTCGAATAGTAAAACAAGAAAAAAAATATTCTGAACCAACGGACTGCAGACATAGTACAGGAAATGACCAGAGACTGCAGACACAGTACAGGAGATGACCAGAGACTGCGGACATAGTACAGGAGATGACCAGAGACTGCAGACATAGTACAGGAGATGACCAGAGACTGCGGACACAGTACAGGAGATGACCAGAGACTGCTGACATAGTACAGGAGATGACCAGAGACTGCACAGTACAGGAGATGACCAGAGACTGCGGACACAGTACAGGAGATGACCAGAGACTGCGGACACAGTACAGGAGATGACCAGAGACTGCTGACATAGTACAGGAGATGACCAGAGACTGCACAGTACAAGATGACTAGAGACTGCAGACACAGTACAGGAGATGTCCAGAGACTGCGGACATAGCACAGGAGATGACCAGACTGCGGACACAGTACAGGAGATGACCAGAGACTGCGGACATAGTATAGGAGATGAGCAGAGACTGCGGACACAGTATAGGAGATGAGCAGAGACTGCGGACACAGTACAGGAGATGAGCAGAGACCTCGGATACAGTACAGGAGATGACCAGAGACTGCAGATACAGTACAAGAGATGACCAGAGACTGCGTTCACAGTACAGGAGATGACCAGAGACTGCGGACACAGTACAGGAGATGACCAAAGACTGCGAACACAGTACAGGAGATGACCAGAGACTGCGGATACAGTACAGGAGATGACCAGAGACTGCGGATACAGTACAGGAGATGAACAAAGACTGCGTACATAGTAAAGGAGATGACCAGAGACTGCGGACACAGTACAGGAGATGACCAGAGACTACAAACACAGTACAGGAGATGACCAGGGACTGCGGACACAGTACAGGAGATGACCAGAGACTGCGGACACAGTACAGGAGATGACCAGAGACTGCGGACACAGTACAGGAGATGACCAGAGACTGCGGACACAGTACAGGGGATGACCAGAGACTGCGGACACAGTACAGGGGATGACCAGAGACTGCAGACACAGTACAGATGACCAGAGACTGCGGACACAATAGAGGAGATGTCCAGAGACTGCAGACAGTACAGAAGATGACCAGAGACTGCGGACACAATAAAGGAGATGACCAGAGACTGCAGAAAGTACAGGGGATGACCAAGAGACTGCAGACAGTACAGGAAATGACCAAGACACTGCATACAGTACAGGGGATGACCAGAGACTGCATACAGTACAGGGGATGACCAGAGACTGCATACAGTACAGGGGATGACCAAGAGACTGTGGACCTTTGGGGAGGGAGAGGGAGTGGGTACCTGAATTTGACCGGTACCTGCTCCCACTTCTGTGGAGTTGTCCTCCCTTTAGTGTGGGCACCCGCCTGTGACAGTTACCTCCTAGAGAAGGGGAAGAGGTAGAGACATGAAGAAATTACGAGTAGCCTCCGAAATGTCCCTCTGGGGTGGGCTGTATAAGGATGCATACAAATTATGAAACTCATGAAGAATTTCATAGGGGTCCTGAGAAAGGGAACCCCTGTTAATTAAATTTTTGGAAGAGCCGACGCAGATGTTTTGTGGTTCGTCCAGGATAATTGTTTCTCTGCTTTCCTGGTAAGACAAGTATTAGGTTCCATACAAGTCTGTTAAAGTTTACTAAGTAAGGTGGAGTATGGAGAACTCTTGTGTTGGGCAACAATATCTTCATGTTCCCTAGATTTGGAAGAAATCAATTACTCCCTGGCCCTTTTAAGTCTAGACGAAAACTGAATTAGGAAACATTTCAATGAAGCTTTCTACACCTCCCAGTTGATAGCAAGGGAGGTGTCCTCTGCTTTATTAGTATCAAAATAATTTTTCAGATGGGTGACCTTATCTAAACAGTAAAATTAATTACCTAGCAAAGACTCATTCAGTTTCCAATGCGGTTTGGCCAATCTAGCTGCCATATTAGAAAGTGTTACGAATATTAGATCATGGTCAGACAAATGTGTCAAGATTATTTTGGCCAAGAGCAATTTGGGCAGAAAAACATGGTCAATACAAGAGTAGAGATTATGAGCCCATGGGAATAGTGCCAAGAGGTAGATTGGACTCCTGCCAGGCATCAACCAGATCATAGTGATACAATACTTGTGCAAATCTTTGTTTGGTAGGGGACTTAAGCTTAGCAAGATAGGATTTTTCCAAGATGTGGTCCAGAGCTAAATTCAAATCCCCAGCTAAAATCACATGACCTTCACGACCTTCCTTGTTCCAAAGTACTTAAGTGGCAGAAAAGGAAAGACATCAGGAGAAACACAACGCCACTCCCCTCTTTTTCTTGGAAGCATTTGTGTAAAAACAGGTAGGGTTGTCCTTATGAATATAATGGAGAACAAAGGAAGGGGCAAAGTGGGTCTCCTGGAGGGCAAGGACATCCACCCCCATAGCCCTATAACATGTAAATATTTGAATGCATTTGGTAGGGGACCCCAGTTCCTGTACATTATGGGACTGCAGCCAAATTGTAACATTTTCAGATGCTAAGGAGGACATGATGAATGACAAAAATAATTATAGACAAACCAAATCACCCACTGTGTCCCAATATCTAAGTGTGAAATGCTGTCACTTAAGCTTCCTAGCTCTGTCCTAATGCCATGACTCACATGCAGACCATGTCAGCATTCACATGTAAATAATTGGTGTTCATATGAAAATAGAGGCGGACCAGCTGCATTGATATGTAAATAGTGGGGGGGGCATTCATATGTAAATATTGGCAGCATTCATTTGTATATCATGTCCCCCCTGATATTCCACCCACCATCAGGACCACCCAACAGCAGGACTTTCAGAGGCAACTGTGGTCACTGAGCCTACCATCAGCCTGTTCTACATCAATACCGCTCACTGATTGGCTACTAGAGGTTCTTGCACATCATTACGGCTCACTGATTGGTTGGCAGAGGTTACTGCACATCATTATTGCTCACTGATTGGCTGCTACAAATTACAGCAGATCACTGATTGGTTGCTAGAGGTTACTGCACACTATTACCGCTCACTGGTTGCTAGAGGATACTGCACATTATTACTGCTCACTGATCGGTTGCTATTGGTTTTTGCACATCATTACCACCAACTTATTGATTGCTAGAGGTTACAGCAGCTCTAGCAACTAATCAGTGAGCCATAATGTGTGCTGTAATCTCTACCAACCAGTCAGTGAGCTGTAAATATATGCTGTAATCTACAGCAGCCAATTGCAATTGCTGCCTGATCTGCCAAATAAACTTATTTTGAGTCCATCTGCTATTTATAGTATATCTCAGAGCAGGTGGAGAGTGAAATTGTAGGGGGGCCCAATAAAATGTTTGCCCAGGGTCCACTCAATATTAAAGATGGCCCTGGAGTGCATAGACATCACCTGACATTATTTGTTATATCAAAACTAATTAGCCACTTGAGCCCTCTCCAGAGGCTGATCATAGTAGTTAATATACAATGCAAACAGTTGCAAAACATTTCGGCCAAAATCTAACTAGTGAGGCCACAAAAAACAAACAAACTTGAAAACAAAGTTACCAGAGTGTATACATATACATAACCCCAACAGGAAAAAAAAATGTGGCTAATGTCCTAAACAGGGACCTCTGAGAAACCACCAGTAAGTAGGTTCAATTTGTCACAAAAACAAGGTAGTAGAAAATCTTCAAGTGAAAGGATGAGAAATCTTGGCTGTCTTTGATGGCGAGGTGAAGCGGAGTGGTGAAAGAGATGGAGGAGGTCCACTGAAATGAGATTGGCTCCTGGAGGAAGGACTGTAAGATATAAAGCCCAATTGTATCCCAATTTTCTCGCTGTCAGGAAACATGGAGAAAGAATAATATTTGCCTTTAAATTGTTACTAAACCCTGGACCCTGTATTCACTCTATCTGGTCTCCCACAGTACACAGAACATGGAAGTGCAATTATTTTAGTAAATATAAACTGCTAAATACCTTTTCTCATCAGCAGCTAGAGCAGTCTTGTGACTTCTATCTGTGTCCAGCCCACCACTGGCTTAATCTTGCAGGAGGAGTTTTCTTTCTGCTCTAAGAGGATGGAAATCTCCTGACCTGTCTGGACAGTGCTGATTGTCCCTGTGCTAATCACATGCACTCTACCGAAAAAAAAAAAACCTCTCTAGCAATACACACCAAACTGAGCATGTATATGCCTATGGTTCAGTCTGGAGATGAGAGGTGGTCACTTGAAAAAGGGGAGGAACAGAGAAAAAAAGGATCAAACACCCTTTTTACACAATGCAGAGGATTAACCCCTTAGGTTCCACAGTGAGTAAAGCATGCTTTTCAGCATATACAGACTGAGTTTACTGTTGTGGGTTTAGTAACACTGTAAAGGTGAACTGTAGATGAAAAATAGAAAGGGTTTAAAGGCTCTTCTGGATAGTAATGTGAGAAATGTCTGCAAAGATTTGTATTTTATGGCCATGAACCTCCAAATCAAGGTGCTCCCTGGCATAATGCATGACCACTTCTTTAATCACAAAAAAGTGTGGTTTGAAAATCACACCCCTAGAGGGGACCCTCCAGTTTTAGGATTACCAAGGCTCCATGAATGCGATCTATCTCCATATGAAATGTATTATTGTCTGGTACAGCTGAATGCATGAGAGAATTAGTGATAGAAGGTAAGGTGCCTTCTCTGGCATGTCCCTAATCCTAAAGTTGATATAGGCCTCCTCCAAGATATTTTGTAGGTCAGTAATCATTGTAGAATTCTATGTAAGTCTGAGACACTCTATGGAGTGTCTCATCCATGTTGGATTCAATACTATCTAGGCGGTGCCCCACCTCTTAAGAAGAGCAAGTGGTCCATAATGGGGCCAGCAACTGAGGAATCAGGACTTTGGAAAAATATTGTTTTTATGTCTGCCAGACACTCTTTTCCCAATATTGGTCAGCTTGACACATCTTAGTAACATGCATTGGATAGTTTCAGGGCTCACGATTACTAAAAATACACTACTTTTTGTTTTACTTCTGCCATTGGTAACCCATGGGGGAACTTTCCCATGCCAGCTAAGGTGTTACCAAAAGCTACCCATTTCAGAAGTTTACAAACTGATTATATCCAGATGTCCAAGTCAGGATCTTTTGAGTATGTACTTGTCAGTGTGGGCATGTTTTCTTGATGGTGGCCAGAGGCATGGCCAGTGCAAATGCTACTGCAAAGGTCACAGGACAAAAGTTGCTTTTAGAATCCCAGAAACTATAAAGCGTGATAAAGGAACTCAATTTACAGGAAATGTCTTACAAGATGTTTTCAGTATATTGGAAATACAACAGGTCTTTCAAACTCTCTATCACCCTCAGAGTAGTGGTAGGGTGGAGAGACTCAATGGAATAATTATAAACAGGACTGCTAAAGTGATGGCAGAAACTGGAAATTCATGGTCAGAATGTCAGAAAGACATAGACCTTACATTTTGTTTGTCACAGTCCCTCATACAAAACTCTATTTCCCCCAGCAGCTGCAAGTCATGCTGTTGCTCATTTTCAGATCTTAACAGTTTGGTAGAATCTCAATATGCAGTTAAGTGAAACACGTTTGAAGCCATGATACAAGTGCCCATGTTATGTATATGTGGCCACCCCCCTGTAAAGCTTGAAGGAAAAGACATTTAGAGAGACTGCAGCCACTGCAAAAAAAGTTTCTAAAATGAAAGTACTTCTGTATTTTATTTTATTTCCTCTAGGAATCACAGCCTGTGATACTAATCTATTAATTACTGAAAGTGGGTGTTTAGATTGTGCTTTTTCTATTATTTTATATTTTCTGGTACGATTATGTCTTTGTATTATAGCACATTAACCACCAGTAGAAATCTAAAATTTCTGTTTGCTAGACTTCACCCTATAGATTTCATAGTATTTGGAAGACATTGTTATAATCTATTTAGTGTTGTTATTTAAACCGTAGTTCATACATTTTAAAGTTAATTTTTCTTATATATATCTTCCTTTTTATGTAGAACAGTCTATTTGATGTATGTTAGGTTACAAGGCCATTCTGGCCACAAGACTTGGGTGTACATCCAATTACCCTGTAAATACTTACTATTTGTGCACAGGAAGCCCAATACACAAGGTCCTTGACTAGGTCAGACTAATTGTAATTTGGCCAAATGGTGGTTAAAATAGACAGCACTAAGGGGATAGGTAGTCTAATATAATTTTCAAACCATTGGGATAACAATCAGGAATTTCATAGGTAGATAAATGATACAACTTATAAGAGTGATAACACTTATGCATTGTATAGTATATTAATGATGAATTACTTATTAAATAAATTTCACAATTT